ACTCATTTCACTTGCTATTGGAAGTGTTGATTGATTGATTTATCTGTTTAATGGCATATCAACTCCTTATGAGTCATTTAGTGCCAAAATTAAATTTTCTTGGGAGCTTGGAAGTAATAAAAACATATGTTATTCTGTTTTCACAATTGAATACATGGTAGATGATACTCAGATTTTGTGCATATACAGGTTTGTATGGCCATGATTACTAGAGGCGGTGATGGGCGTTTTATGTTGCAGTTTTGTAGAAATTATATTTTGGGATACAGTTTGATTTAAGAATTTGTAGAATATTATATGGGTTAATGCTATGAAAGTTCTTTTTTGTTGGTTATTTGGTAGTATCTTAAATGGATTTGTGTGTATCTTAGTGTGTGCATATTGCTGGTATTTTTACTATAAAAAATCTATTTTTATACTTTCATAGTGTTTTGTTTGGGGACGGTCACTATTGGCCCACAGCTGGGACCCGAACAGGTGCTACCAGCCTAGGACACACTCCTGAAAATCTCCAATTGTCTGATCAGAGGTCTTGCTGCTAGATTATACCCAGGACCATGGAAGTGAAAAATGTAGTGAATAATGAAAGAGTGAAAAAAAAAATATGTAGTGAATGATGAAAGAGTGAAAAAAAATGATGAAAAGAGTGAAAAAAAAAATGTAGGGATTGAGTGAAAAAAATGTTTTTCATCTTTTAACTTAAAAATAGAAATAATCTTAGAATTACTCAAAAATGGAGATTTGCACCTTCTGCTCTCAAAGTTAGCACCAGACATTGACACACGAAATCACAAAAGCTCATCCTTCTCATTAACTGTTAATTCTTAACCTAACAATATATGTAAAAAATATATTAAAAGACTGTCTTATTTGTAAAAAAAAAAAAAAAAAAATAAAAAATCATTTGGTATGACTTAGGGAACAGCAATCAAAATAAGTTAGAGAGAATGCTGCTCAATATCAAAATGTACTGAGCAAGTTTCATATTATTTAGTATAGGAAGGTAAGAGTTAATTTAATCTTTAAGGTGAACACTTAGAAAATTAGTTCATCCCCTTGAAAATGCCAGACAAATATATATGATAATTTGCAGACAGCAAGTCAGCTATGTCTTTATTTGAGACAACCAATGAAACTGCTGAGCCATTTAAAATGGCCACAGAGTCTGAAGCAATGTTAAATTGCTTTGCACCTATAAAGACGAGAAACAGATCAATAGATCAATATTCTAATGTGGGGACAGTGATCAAACAACGTCTGTTGCTAAGAAGGGCCAAAGAAAACAGTGCAAGACTCATTCCACTTCTTGTTTGAACAAGATGATAATGGCAACATTAGTCAGAAATCCAGAGTAATAATTTGACCTCATTTACAAGAATCATCTCAGGAGATGAACCTTGACTCAATGATGGAGGGTTTATTATTGTACTTTTATATAGAAGACATTACCACAACTACCATTATGATGAAAGAAAACAAATTCAGAAATATAATTAACATGTAACATTTTTTTCTTAGATTATATTACAAAAGAATTAAGAAATCATTGACTATATAGGGAAAGGGTTAATTTTCCTTTTTCATAAGCATATTTTACTTTTTGGTGGGAGGGCAAGACAATAATGGTTGTGGGTAGGACAATAAACTACATCTGTCAGCAAGCCCTCTGATCAGGGAGTTTTGAGGAACAGGGAACCACTTCTTAATTGCAGTTGTTCCCAGGTCTACCCTGACTTAGAGTGGTAGCACCTGTTAGGGTCCCAGCTATGGGCAAATAATGAACCCCCAAACTGGGATCAAAACATGAAAATATATAAAATACATTAGGAAAAGAAATTACCAACAATAGAGAGGGGAAAAAAAATACCAAAACTCACACAAAAATAAAATTTCAGCATTAAATGACCCATAAGGTATTGATATACCATTAAACAAACCAAACCAAGATGGAATCACAGCTACTTTTCATGCAGACATTAAGCTCTTAAAAATATTAATTAGATCAACAAGTTTTTATAAAATTATTATCATTATTATTATTCTCTGTGTCATGTTCATTAAGGATATAAGCGATCACAACTTCCTCTCTTTTGCCTTTTCACCATCCTTTCCACTCCCTGTTCCATCACCCATTTATATAAGCTTGTTAGGTGAGTTACTGTTTCACACTATCCCTCTTGCCTTCAATATGTCCTGTGAGTGTCAGATTTACCAAGCCCTCTTTCCTCATATGTACTAGAACATTTGCCATGGAAATAACCATAGTGTAGCAATCTATTTGTGACATTTTGTCTGTAGGAAATAGATTGTAGGAGGAAAAATAATTCATCACTCACAATGCGATGAAAATAATTTATCACCGACAAAGTCAGGGGTGTATTCCTATTTGCAGTGATATTTTTAATGTGAAAACTAGGTTAAGACTTCAGTTGAAGCTATAAATAAACTCATAAAATATTTGCCATATTTGAGGATACATTAACCAAGATGAATTCTAAAACAGGAATAAACTTTTATGGCTCACGTAAAAATCTAAATCATTGCTTTCTGTACTGGCAAATATATGGGAGCAGCATGATTTTTGTCTAAAAAGAGTCATTAACATTCCATGCTTCCTTCAAACTGCTCCTTTGTGTTGTAGATGTTACCAGATTTTTGAACAATCTATTCTTCAGTTGTATTATTTGTGAGAAAAGATAACCCACCTCTCGTTACAAATTATACACCCAAAGAACGCTGGAGAACAGAGATTAAGTTGCCTGAATAAAGACTAAGATTATTTTGATTGACTTTATCTAATACACATATCTGTGTTTGTACTTCAGTATAGCAACAGTTCCTAACTGCTTTTATATCATGTCCCACCTCAACAGCTACAAAATTAAATATCTGAATAAATCTGAAGATTTTAAAAATTAGTTCTCAGCTAAGATTGCTTTTCATTCTTCTCACCAAAATTCCAAAACAACAATTCCATTTGGAGTCACTGCAGTCCAGCAAAGGAGACAATACAAAATCATCTCTACTGATTAGTATACATTCTTTTTCTAAATGCTATGTCCTTTCAGGATGTGGGTGATCATGGCTCTCCACATCTTCTTATTCTTTGTAGCTCTTAATAAGGTTTATCTTTTTACTATCCCTCCTACTCTGTTCTGTTATACATTTACAAATTCTTGTTAAGAAAGTTACTCAGTGATTTCCTCTGTCCCTCTTACCTTCAATATGCCCTGTTAGTGTGAAATTCCACAAACCCTCTTTCCTCATTATGTGTCCTAGAAATTAAATGTTTCTTTCTAAATCCAAATATATGTTTCATTTTTGCTTCCATTATACTAGAAATGTTGTTACTCACATGCTCTGTCCATAGTACCCTCAACATCCTTCTGTAGAACCACATTTTTGTTACCTAAGTTTTTTTCTTTATCTGTGAGGACATTGTCCAACATTCATTACCATATAGGAGGACTTATTACATAGCAGTTCAGCCCATTTCTATGTTCTTAATAATTTGCTTAGCTTTTGGAAAGCACTTTCGCTATTTCAATCCAGATTTTATGGCCATGTTTTCTATTGCTAGATATTTAAATTTCCACACATGCTTGATTTTAGCATTTCCAAATTCAAAGAAATACGAAATAAATAGTATTCATTTGCATACTAAAGTACTAACTTTAGAACAAATGTTTGGCAGTTAGCTACAAGGATTAAGGATATTTACAGATCCCAGTAAAGGAAGATATTAAAATGGGATGAAGTGTTTTTCACAAGCAAGGCAATAAACCCACTAAGATGCACTGTGTGTAAAAGAATCTGAGAAAAAAAAAAAACAAACATTATTATGGAAATAAGTGCTAAATGAAAAGGTTAACTTGAATAGTCAGAAATTGAAACAACCACTTTCACACAGTTAACGACAGCAACCAGACAAAATCGACAGGTATTAAAATGATGTGAGCCTGGAATTTGGTGCTTTTACTGTCAGCTAAACCAAAAATCAGTAGCTGAACTGTAATTCTGCACTAGAATGCACCAAATGACATGCAACACAGTCTCCCAGAATTCAGCATTTGTATGATTGGTATGTGAAAGAAAGCATCTTTGAGACAGTATAATGGTAATAAATATCAAAAACACAGAGGCATCACTGTTCAGGTTTCAGTGTTAATATTCTTTACACAATAAGTCATTGAACCCAAATTCTTGGGATTAAATTGACAAATATTTATGTCATTAGATAAAGGTTCTAAGTATAATTTCAAGTCTTCCTGTAACCATTTATACAATTTATTATAATAATGCAAAAAATTAGATAAATTAAATCTAGGCAAATTGCACAGGTCAGTTAAGATTTAAGAGTGAATTGAAATAAATTATTGTAGACTTTTCACTATACCTTGACCACAATGAGATCTCTTGAGAAAAGGATAATTTTAAAAAGTGGCTCGTATCGCTATTAATGCATTGCTCTTCAACCAAATTAAATTGAGTCCTCCAGGTCACTGATATATACCGCATAGAAAACGTTAAAATTTCCCTTCCTCTCTGCTGTGCGACAATAGTCTAAAGGTAGAATCTCTGACTGATACCAAATGGGCTGGGTTTCGATCCCGGCTTGAAGCAATTGGACCTCTAGCCACACTGAAGAGCTGTGATACAGCAAAACAGTCTGTTTGTGGATGACATTATATATATATATATATATATATATATATATATATACACACACACACAATTGATTTGTTTTCTACAGCTGATCAACTCTTTGCAAGTTATTTAAAGCCAGAAAATATTTTTAGGTTGTAAGAATGTTTTTTTTCTATTTGGAAAATAATGATTTAATGATAGAAGTCTTACTAATTAACCCATAGTTGGGGACAGAAGAGGTAGATTCATACCTTTTCCAAGGGTTTTGCACAAGTGAATATAACCATCTCAACTGAAATTGCAAGTCGGTTCTCTGATTAAAAATTTGGAACCATTATACATTACACACACTTTACAGCACCTGGTATTCTCAAGTGGTCACTCATCTATGTACTGACAATGCTCAACATTGCTTAATTTCAGTGATTATATGAGAACTGGTGTTTCTATGTCATGTGGCCACACACACAAGTAATTTCCATTTCAGGAATCCAATTGTAATGACTAATACATTTGGAGTACACTAATATACCTTTCCATTGTTTTTTTCACAGCTGTAGCAGTGCACACAGTGGATTAAAGGAAATACATTGCTCTCAATGACAACAGAAGACTGCATGGAGCAAGAATAACAAAGGAAAAATATTTGGAGCTGTTCTATCCCACCTGTCATATTCACCTGAACTTGTACTGACCGAAGACTCTCCCATTGCTTTTCAACATATGAAGGTCTAATAGTTCAGTTTTAGAACTGAAACGCCAAAACTACCCACACATATGATTTAATTATAGTAGTGAAGGCTAGTGTAGAACCACCCATACTTTTCAGACAAACTGATAAGGGAAATAATGTATAGGGTGCCAGAAAGTGTGGAATCAGTCCTCAGATTTGAATTCAAAGTTTTCAACCAAGGCTAGAGGCTAGTCTGGTCAGCTATTTAACTCCAAAAATATGGATACAAGTGAACACAATGACCTCAACCAGAAATTAAACTTGACATGTTGATCCCAAATTCCATGTTAATAACCACTATGCTACATACAAATTCACATACATTAATATGAGATAAAATACTATAGACTTTTTTTTTCTTTTCAAATTTAATAAGTTTTGTAAAAGTAGATATTTTGAATGTTTTATTCAATGCAGAAAATCATTTTTCTATGATCACCTAAATATATCTAAGATGGTTGAAAGTCAATCTAGTTCCAAATAAAAAAGTGATGGATTCAATGCAAGTTTGAACCCAAGTTTGAACCAATAGAAATGGCAAGAATATTGGAGGTCATGCACCAAAAAAAATACATTTTTTATAAGAAATGGATAAAAATGTGTTCTTTATTTAAAAAAATATATTTGACTATTAATTAAAGTTACAAGCCATTATGACATAATTTTATTAACATTAGTCAATATGCAAATTGCTTTTTGATGACAATTACTCAAAAGTGAATTGTTGGAATACTACCAGGTTTAAATCTTAAATATTTTTAGCTGCTGATAGAAAATATTTCTCTGTATTGAAGACAGATCTAAAAAGTCTTCTATAATGGGGGGGGGCTACAAAAAAATCCTAGGCATTTTCTACTTAGACCATATCACAAATGATACAGTGTACGACACAATTAGACAAGAAGCCATCCTATTGGAAGACCTCCAAACCACCATCAAGGAAGAGGAAATTGAAATGGTATGGGCCACATTACAAGAGCCAACAATCTTAGGCAACAGAAAAATATATGAACAGGTAAAATGGGCTGACGACATTACTGAGTGAGCTGGAAGATCCTTCACAGACACCCAAACATTGGCATGCAACCAAGACATCTGGGAGCTGGTCGGGTGTTCAGCTGTGCACTAACCTTATCATGGGACTGGTAAGCAGTAATTGTGTGTGTGCGTACATTATATGAAACAAACTAAAATATTCATAAAGCTTCCAAGTATGTTACCAACACAAAACCTACCAAATGAAAAAGCTGAAATGGCAAAAAAATAAAGATGGAAAAGAAAAGACAGATAAACACCTACCATGGCAATAACTCAATCTCTCTAGCAAATTGACCAAAACAGAGCGGTAAACCTAACCAATGGTTTTTGTCAACAGTCCTGTGAGAAACTGAGTAACGATACTGACCTTCTGTGTGCATGTGTGTGGATATAGGAATCAGTACAGTATGGTGACTGTCAGTTTCACGCTTCAAGCGATCTTCAGGCTATAAATCATTGAAACTTGACAAATCTATAAAGATGATGATGTAGGTAAAAAAAAAAAAAAAAAAAGAGTATCATTAAAAATATATAATTCAATGATTTTTTTTTTTTTTTTTACTAGCATCATCTTTTTTAGACAATTACTGGCTTACATTATTATACCACATGCACTGGAGTTCAGCTATTTTAAATGCAGCCTTTCACTCTCTTAAAACTGTACATATTCTTTGTTTTTTATCCCATTTCTAAGGAATGAATGGATTTTATTTTTAATCCAACATAATTTCTTATTGCAATAAAACATTTTTGTGGATACACGTTTGAGCAGATATCCCATTTCTTTTTTGTTAAACTTGCAAATTAAAAATTTGATAAAAATCTATGTTGCACCTGACAAAATGATTCATTAAAAGAACTTGTATTTTCATTAGCTTATTGTTGCTATCCAGATATTTATCACCCAAATGCATGAATAGACTGAATACCAAGTGCATGAAGAATGTAATTAAAACTTTCAATGTCCCCATGTTTCCTTCACACTACTATTAACTGCTTATCTATTATTAGCCTACATCATTTATATATCTCTTGAGTATAAGTGAGGTATTTTGAATGTATTTCCTATACTTTTTAAAATAATGTTTTGTTCTCCCCTATTTTGAATGACTATAAATCTGGTTTGGTTAGAATAAAGGACAAACAATCAATCAAGGTTTTTTTCAGTTATAAAGCAGTACTTTCAATGTTTACATTTTTCAAACAAAAGTGCAATAGCAAAAAATTAGAAAAATTAAGATAATGCACTTGTCTTTCAAACTGAATGGTGATTATATGAATATCTCTGAAATACAAAGAGGAAGGCTACTGCTGAAATACTAGCAATAACATTATATAACCCAACAGGATCCACTTTGGCATCAAGTTCTTTGTCCTTTTCAAATCAGTCAATCAACCAAATAACAGGTAGATTTAATCAAACAAATTGATTTTCAAGTGGATATAGCAATCATTCTGTCTCGATCTTTTTTTTTTCTAAGTAGTACTGATTAGAAATTCAAATAAATAATTGATTAAATTCTAATCTTATTTTTCTTGCAGGGTTTAATTCAACAGCACCACCTGGTTTAAAATGGCTTAAGTTATCAATTTTTGTAAGATAGCTTCAGAAAAAAAAAAAAAAAAAAAAAAAAAAAAAAAAAAAAAAAAAAAAAAAAAGAAAAAAAGAGTTTGAAAGTTAACTTGAAAAACAAGAGATCAAATTCCAATACATTTTTCTTGATCCACAAAGCTGACAGCAAAATCAAATACAAGTGAAGGGATGGTTCACTTGTTCACTGCTTTCTATCTAATAACATAAAAACACACATGCATAACTAAAAATTGTTTGGCTGGGTTTTTCTTGTTTATAGACTGCAACAGCTATTAGGGAGATGTGATTAAATATACTTTAATGTTTAAAAAAAATTATTCAGTATTATTATTGCTTAGGTAATAAATATTATAGCACAGCTATATTGTGGAAAAAGGAATTTTTGACAATATACACATTTTTTACCTATTTATGGTTATTTTTTTAACTTTTATCAAAAATGAGATTCTCGTACAGGTAGTTATGAATAATATTATACATTAATTACTAATTTTTTTTAATTAATAACTATTTGTGCTCAGTTGTTGACATTAATAGCTATCTACTGATGTGTTTACATTTTGGAATAATGCAATAATAAAAATTTTAATTTCATCTCTGATAGATGTCACGATCTGTTAACAGTACATCAACCTCTGTAGGTCATTTTAGTGCTGAATCCTTTAAAATTGTTCAAGCAATTGTGCATACATATTTGACTAGATTCCAAACAGTAAGATGTGTGCTTAAAGGTCAGTGATGTATTTGTGGAGATATTTTCTAAATCTAGAAATTATAAATTAAAAATGACTAAAGAAATATTAAAAAATATGATAGTAAAAAAATTAAATATATTTCAACCAACATTCACTTACAGGGATAGTTTTAGGGTTTTTTTTATACAGAAAAAGGTTTTATTTAAGAATAATGATCATAATTAAAAAAAAAAAAAAAAAATTCTTCAAAATTGTATTTAATATCACACTAAAGCCTAAGAGGAACCACATACATTAGCATCAGAGGCTTGACTTCGAAGATGACCTCATAGCCATCATTGTCTCACAAAATGTCAGTGGCTGCCCCCAACAAATAAACAAGTGGTCAACACAGGTGAGTTTATGATGTGCACACATGAGACAACCGTATGACAAACAGTTATATAAGCACCTCACCCAAGAGGGAAAGATAAAGAGGCTTTCACAAAAAAAAAAAAAAAAAAAAAAAATCCATATTCAAAGAGAGACTCCTCATATGAATATTAATTGACAAAGTCTAGGGATGAATAAACAATTTCACATATGAAAGATTTAGTCTCATCATATTTGTCTCTACAGTAATAACTTTAAATCAGTTTGTGGCTTGGGAATTACGGTAATGGGCATCCGTGGTTATTTCCAACTAATACATCATTGTATCAACTTTATACATTCACAGACACTTGAATGATCCTTCATCTTCAAAGAGAAGGATCAGCAATATCAGCAAACAGAAAATATTTAGCACAGTTTGTAAACCAGCAGAAAAAGGTTGGGTGTGAGTTGGTCTCTATAGAAATACCTCAGATTTATGAATGGAGTATTCATTTATGTGGAGAAGCAATTGTAAATAATGGTAAAAGTTGATGCCATAATGTAATTTCAAGTAAATCTCATGCTTAAAAAGTTATTTGGCTTAAAAAAATAAAATTAAAAAAAAGAAAGAGTGAGAGAGAAAAAAAAAAAGAGTGAGAGAGAAAAAAAAGAAAGAGAGAGAGAGAAAAAAAAAGAAAGAGTGAGAGAGAAAAAAAAAAGAAAGAGAGAGAGAAAAAAAAAAAAGAGAGAGAGAAAAAAAAAGAAAGAGTGAGAGAGAAAAAAAAGAAAGAGTGAGAGAGAAAAAAAAAGAAAGAGTGAGAGAGAAAAAAAAAGAAAGAGTGAGAGAGAAAAAAAAAGAAAGCAAGCAGTTGTTCTTGTGAGTGGACTGGTTCAGTGAGGTAAACACAATGAGAAACTTCAAAATAAGGACATAGCAGACAAAAGAAAAGGAACTAATTCAAAAAGGTGGGGGGAAACTCATCACTCATGGAATGCATGGTTCACCATATATCTCAACTACTAATGAATGTAATAAGTCTTTTTCTAAT